CCCGCATCATTTACAATTGATTTACTTTAATATCAAGATACCTTTGAAAATTTGTCTAGGATTGTAAGTGTCATTGTAGTATGACACCGAATGATGTATGCATTGTGTCGATTACAAATAAAACTCAAAACTGGAGGCTTTTCCCATATTTACTATTTTTGGACAATTACTACATGTAGTATATTATCATAATAGAATATTTATATCAGTAATTTCTATTATGTATTGCATGTGCTGAAACCTATCGGGTCACATTAGACGATTGTTTCAATTTTACACAACATTTTTTTCTAAAAGTAAATTTTAGAAAAAAAAATCTACAAATATATATTATATATATACACATTGAAAATCAATCAATATAACATATAGCATTCCAGCAATTGAAAAATTATGATTGTTTTTTGTTTGAAATGATTTATATTCATGCAAGCATACTGACTTATAAAGAATATAAATAATAATTGAAGCCTTGGTATAAATTCTTTCATACATATTCGGGCAAAATGGCTTATTCATATTTTCTTTGGATAAAGAAATAAATAAAAACCCTCGTGTCTGGTGGTGGCGAATGAATCTACACATGCGATCAGGACAGACCAAGACAAACCGGCACATCCGTGCCCCCTGGTCAGTGCATACTTTGGGATTTCTCATTCACATGATGAATGATTTTATCAGATTGAAAAATGGGCAAGCCCTTTAATGTACATGTATTTAGCCGGATATTACAGATTCAAATGTACAGGAAATAACAGCTTTCTTAAAAATAGAAAAGCAACTCATGCATATTTTTGGTTAAATCCGGAGTCTGGGGTACCGTATTTATATAATCATTATTGCTGTCTTCATTTATTATTCATTTATATTGGCTTGAACAGATCACCGTGTGCTTTCACATTTGACTTGTACAACGTAATTAGTCATTAGAAATACCGCAGCTTATGGTGATCACAACAATAGCACGTGAACAATGACACGTGATCAATGTTACAAACTTACAAAAATGCGTATGTTTATAGATTTATGATATCATAATTTATTTAAAGATGAAGAAGGAGGGAGAGTGAAATCTTAAAGTTTCCTGTACAGTTACTAAACACAGCATTTATGTATTTGAAAATAACATGTGCGTGCGTGCGTGCGTGTGTGTGTGTGCGTGTGTGTGCGGGTTTCTTTCTTGTTACTTTTGTTATTGGTGGTGGTAGTGGTAGTGTCGTGTGGTTGAGAATTGGGTGTGAGATAAAGCGGAATCGAGCTTGTTGTTTTTATTTCATTTAACTTTTTATTTTCCTTTTTAATTTTGTTTCTGTTAGAGAAATTACTTATATATTATTTTTTAAGAAAGGCCCTGGAAATACTGTTGTTGCAAATAGATTACAAACCATTTCGCATTTAAATCTACTGAGAAAAACCGAATTTCAAATCTATATGCATTTTAATACGACATACTTCCTTAAATTTCTATGGGGCCAGTTCGGTTATTAAGACACAATTGCTCAAAACATTATGTACAATAAACACTTAAAAATTTGAAGACATGTAAATCTAACATAAAGAAATATTTAATACATTGATTTCTTTTTTTTTAAAAAAAGGAAATAATTTATAAATAGCCCTAACTAAAGGAATCCCACTGATGTTCAAAAGCATAAAAACATAAAATTTGAATTTCTTTCATAGATCATATGAGACTCTTCAACAGAAAGATATGCAGAAGATACCGTATAAGTACTTTTTTCTGCGGGAACTTTATTTCTGCTATTTCTGCGGTTTATAACGACACCGCAAATTAAAAAACGCAGAAAATTAAGCCTCTCGCCATGTCTACATGTATGTCGGAATATGTCAACTACCGGTATTGTATAATTACATTGCCATGTACCGTTATCAGCTTTTGCTGATGGGAATAATTTTACTTTATGTATCCGTCATGAATAAAATATTAGAAAGAAAAGTTACTTTACTTGTTCTTTTTGTTTAAAACAATGTCATGTTTGTATGATTTTCGCTCACCCTAAGCTTGATTTATTTAAAAATAAAACTATTATAGTTTGACGGGTGCAATAAACATACCCTTTTGTATTTGTGCAATATATTGTGTCTACGTGCGATATTACCATTGTTTATTTTTCACACTTCATATTTATACACATGCAGTATTATAATTAATTGTTGTCATTGCACGTTGTTGATTTTTGTTTATTAACGTTTAGTTTATTGCGTTCACTGAACGCCGCCTTTCCTTTTTGATATTGTTTATCATATTTTATATACCGATACATGGTGATCACGATGAACACACTTATAAGTCGTCTGTATGTTTACCGGGAGTAATGTACATGTTACATCAACATATCTTGAAATGTTGTCTGTTTGTATCGATTAATTTTGTAAAAATATCTAAATTAAAACGCAGAAATAAAAAAACATCAATGCGAGAATGATGACACCGCAGAAATAAGATACGCAGAAATTTAAAACCCCTTATTTTAACCAAAATCGCAGAATTTTAAGCCCGCAGAAATAAGTACTTATACGGTAATTTGGAAATATACTCGGAAAGGAAATGAATTGAAAATAGTATGTTTTGTTTTACGTTAGCCCGATTTGAGTGAAATCGTTGCAACGCATTACAATTTAAGGTCATGTTTTACAATAAGAATAATTATTCTGGATAAAAAGGGGTGACCAAATGTTCTTTTTTGGGGGGTAGGGAGGGGGTGGGGGAGGGAACACAAGTTGTTTGTCTATACATCGAACAATAATCCCGAAAAATATTTCCTGCCCGGTCATGTCAACAGACCTAAGTTGAGTCCTTTTAAAGAATGCCATCAGTGACATTGGACGACCACTACAGACGAAGATGTTTTCACTATTAACGAAATGCGCAATTAACTTAAACGAAATGTCGTCAACTATTAACAAAATGTGATGTTAACTAAAAACGAAAGGTGCAGTAGCCTATTATTCCGAATTAAAATGAATATGACCTTTGACCTTCCGTTTACAATCTGTTCACCGGATATAACATATACATGTGATACAAAAAAAAACATAAGTTTCTTTAGTACTTTATTGGTATGTTGCAAACTTGTTATTATCCCATGAGACAAAACCTGATGTCAAAATTTACATATAATTTATAGAATAAAGATATCTGACATAACTGTAACATAAAGAAAAGATATTACGTAAAATAAAAAATTGACAATAACATATTTATAGAGTATGGGATATTCGACTTTTACACTCATAATAGATATAAAACTTAACTTTTATATGAAGTATAGAAATATATATATATATAAAAATTGGTTATAAATTTCCATAAAAAGCAAAAAATTCAAGAATTTAATATAGTTATGTTTCTAAACTTTAAAACAAAGTTAGTTTATGTACAAAAAATACATTAATACGAAAATCTGCATTATTAGAAATAATGTTTACTACATTGAAAAACAATATCAAAATATCATAAAAGAACAATAACTTGAACAAAATCACTTTTAGTTAGAACATTTAAAGAGTTGGGATATTAACAATGATTATGATTATGGTACATTTAGGTTCTCGTTAGCTGCCGTACAGTGACCTACTTTTTGGCTCAAAATTCAAATCTTTGGCTAACACTCTGTGGAAATTGCAATGAGGTAAGTAATCACCACATTACGCCTTTAAAGGCTTGACTGGTGACATGTCCGGAGTCCGTACTAGACAGCGAAAGCTGCTTTTTGTTCCCTACACGGGCGGGTCGGCCCTCATTAAACATAGACTACATACATATATACATATTAACAATGAGGTCTTGATCAAGTGTATTCAACAATAAATGCAAAACAAAATATACAGCTTACAAGTATAATTCAAATTAGTAAGTGACACTTTATTAAAATACTCAAATTTACTAAGATTTGCTAAGACCTCTCTAATCTTAAAAAGCGATATCAGTTCCCAGACATGTTGCTCTTGACTACCACTTCTATATGAAAAGAGAATAACATTCAATTTACAAAGTATTGTTAAAATTTAGAATACAAAACACAATTTTAGTAAATTATGTTATTACAAACTGATACTGATACCAACGTCAAAAAACACATTTTTTACATTTCACAAAAATAAATTATATTTCAATACAAAAGAGTCACAATGGCCGTATACGGTTCCCCTGAAATTCCTTTGAGATTTATTTATAAAAACAGTCATTATTCATTACAATGCAAAAGTAGATCACATTAAAGGCCATTCATAGTCAAATTTCACACAAAAACATAGGACAGAAAATAAGAAGTTTAAAATTTGGTCACATGGTCAACATTGTTATGATCAGAGATGATCCCTTGAGCAGTGCCCTGTCACTGGGGCATGATTTATAAAATTTTGTATAGGTCCAAAATGTGTGCTACATACCAAATTGCTGTAATTTTGGCAAAATAAAATTTAAATGTAATTTCCCAAATAAATAGTGCAAGTATTTGTAAACCAAAATATCCACATGGGCATAATAACCATAAAACAAAAATACCAATAGTGGCGTAACAACCATGTAAACTAATATACCCATAGAAGCATAATTTATACAAAGCATAATTTACACAACAATTGTATAGGTCAATTAGACCAATGCTTCCTGCATCTAAGCTTTATGGTATACATGTGTAAATAGCTTAACATTTGAGAATTTCCTCGAATAAAACTTCAATTTCTTTCCCTTTGAAAATTACTCGTTTTTCCCCTTTCATTTCTTTCCAATATGCTTCATAGTTCATAGTTTATATTTGTTTCTTTTTCAACTATTTTGATTTCTTTAAAAAGTTTATCTTCTTTATTAATTTCAGTTTTTTTCTTATGTGAAGCATAACTAATTGTTTTCCCTCTCATATTTAATAGCAAGGTCTCAAAAAATAACTGATCATTAACATTAAATCTTATTTCTTGAAGGGGTATATTATCTATATCTGATACATCTATTGAATACTGTAGTTTTGTTTCGGTAATAATATTTTTCACTTCATTTATGTATTTTTCATCTCTTAAGAGGGAATTATTAAATTTCCAGTAATACCGCCCTTTTTTAAATTTACCAAATTCTAGTGACATTGAAATAAGTGAATGATCTGTACGATACCCAGGTAAAATTAAAGTTTTGTCAATGTCGGTATATAAAGTATCTGACATTAGGAAAAAGTCAAGACGTGCCTTTTTTATTGGATTTTGTCTAAACCATGTATATTCCCTTTTTTCCAAGTTATTTTCTCTCCAGCAATCCATTAGGTTAAACTCTGACATTAAACTGTGTAGCTTATCACGTGCATTTGGATTGTTTAAGTGTAAGTAATTAAAACAATCTATATCAGGATTAAGTACCATGTTGAAATCTCCAGCAAGAATATATAAAGTATTATTGAATTGTGACATTTTCTCTGAAACCAAAAATTTGGGTTGCCTCTATTTGGTCCGTAAATATTTAGTAGAGTGATATCTTTATCGCATATTTTACAGTTCAGAATAAGCAAATTACCTCGATATTATTTACTTTACAATCAAAATTATTGTTGATAAATATTGCAACACCCCGAGATTGACTATTGAAATTAGAAAAGTAGGTATCATATCCCCATATGGACCGTTTATACTTTTCTTCTTTATTTGTGAAATGAGTGTCTTGTAACATACATATTGAGTACTTTTTACTTTTAAAGAAATTAATAACATCTCTACGTTTAGCTCTGTCGCCTAGGCCTTGATCATTCATGGAAATCACTGAAACATTATTTGTCATGGCTGTCTAAATCATGAAAAAATTGTCTTAAAACATGTGAAAAAGAAAATATAATTTTCTGATATTTTATGAGAACAGGTAGAACTTCTTGATAGATATATAGAGTATTTAAGTAAAAACCTTTAAAAATGTTAAGTCTCACCCACAAACTTAATGGGTCATCCACCAAAAACCTAATCTTATCCATTATTTTGCAGATTTTATATGAATCGGTTGGCATGTTGAAGAAGAGGGCTTTATGTTGAATTTAAGCTGTAATATATTCTCCATTTCACTAGGAAGCAGTAAATGTGCCTATTCATATTATAAAAGGATTGTGTTTTTACAAAAAAAGAGTGAAAAAGTTGAGTTTTAATATTATTATAAATATAATGTGGGAAACATATATATACTGTATGTGTTATACGTAACCATTTCCAGGTATTTTCAATAAGTTTATACTACAACAATACAAATACCAGTATAACTTTACATTCCAAAAAGAAAATAAACAGTAAAAAGTAAACAACATACTCATTGACTTACTGTGTTTTGACCATTTTCCCTGTGCCTCTGCCCATTCACATTAGATTCATATCTTACACAGTTCACGTTTCACTGAAAAAAATAAGAACCAGACCACAAAGAACCGCTTTCAAAACGTAATCATACCACTTATTTTCTATTATCTGGGATTAAAATAACTTACTTTTAATGTATCCCAGTAATTATAATATATACATGTACCGAAACGGCGAAAGGACGAACTGACTCATCAAAACAAATATACGAAAGAACATCAAATCTACTTCTAGACTTTATGAAGAAACATTTCTACGTGTATTTTTCAATTGAGAGGTTTGCATTTTACATAAGTTTTCATACCGTAATATCTCCCAGCTTTTGGTGTTGTGAACAACAGTTTATAAATTTTGACAGGCGAAATATGGCATGGAGGTATAATAGCAACTCATTTCTGGGTTAACAGCCAAGATTATCAGCCAAGCTACAGCCAAGTGCTTGCGATGACGTCATTGCGGGGGATCAGTTATTAACCGATCAGAGTCAGTTAAACGCTAACGGCGTTTGCATAAATTTACCCTTTCGTAAAAGTTACGGACACATCTACAAGGCGCCAAATTCAAATTGTAAAAAGTTATTATAACCGTAAGAAACAGTTCAGAAGATTTATTTTTCAGTAGCAATGAACATATTATATAATATTTAAAGAAATTGAAAATAGAATTGTAGATCTAGATCTAAACCTAAGGTAAAGCTTTAAAGACCGAGGCGCAAATAAAGGGGGGGGGGTGTAGAAGGAGAAGTTTTTCTGTACGTATATCTTTTGTTCCCATTGGTCAATTATCTGATTCATATTTTGCTTCTTTTGCTTTTTGACAACTTCTCATTGCAATGAGATAGAGTAAAAGGCTTTTCAGCGTTAAGATCATTAAGAGCTATTAGAGCTTTTTGTATCACTATCAGTGCTATATCTCAAATACTTGAAGTATAACTTAATTTACTGCCGAAACAAGCTGAAAAATGCCAAAAGTTTTTTTTTTTTTTTAAATTTCAAAAAAAAATCGGGGTACCCGAAAACGCTTTAAAATCTACCGTACCTTTTAATTACTAGTCCCTCAAAGCAGGCTAATTTTGTAAACATCATAACAATTATTTAAATAATAACAATTTCAGCAAAAATATAACACTTAAAAGATTATTCATAGATATATAACCATTTTTAAGTAATTAAATTCATTAACATTCATTTTCAGTTGGCTCATGACAGAAATATAGCCTTGGCTGATAAGCTTGGCTGATGACTAAATTTTGGGCTGCTACAATACCTGTGGCATGGGCGCAGCCATTTTTATCCGGTGGCGCTGTTTGCGCTTTACCCTGTGCATCAGCCAATCACAGTATGGTAAGTGAAATTACTCAACAGGCTCAGTATAAACATAAACACTACCACGTGCTTACGCACATGTTTAATGTAAACAATATAAAATGCGGCATCACGGTATCGAAAGTGAAATTACCCAAGAGGGGCAGTATACAAGTAAACACTACCGCACATGTTTAATGTAAACAATATTTTAATAGAAACAATTAATGTTCACGTATTCTTCCTAGGGTAGAGAGACACAGTAACGCATAGCCGCGTAATTCATATTTGATAGAAAGTCAAAAAATAAATTTTAAAAAAATAGTCAAAACGTACTATATATATCTATATATGAAAACTACACAATTTTGAACATTTTCCCAACAAAATATAAGTCAAATAAATGTAAACATATACACATTCGTGCTATATCTATCAGTCTATACATGTATGAATAGTTACCAAACGACACAAAGTCACTTAGATTCCGTGCTTGGTATCACAGTTCCTGAGAACCCGACGGGCACTTTATCCAGATCACTTAGACGAGATACAACTAGTTTTTTATTGTTATTCAGTTATGCCACGATTCTGCCTTCATCGCTCCAGGCAGCCTTCACCTGATCGTGTGCGGAGGTGTTTTCTAGAAGTTTTGCGTTGACCCGTGTGAGGTCTTCTCTTATGACGATGAACGAACCCTTAAGTTGTCTGCGAGCTTTCAATACTTCATGTTTGAGATATCTCTGTACAAACTTACATATGATGGGCCTGTTCCCATCACTTCGGAATTTCCCGATCCTATGTGTGATGTCAAAGTCCCCATTTCCGACTTTTATTTGTAGCTTATCGGAAATAATTGAAATTACCTTCTTACATGTGTCCTTGTAGGTTTCACTGACATCGTCTGCAACTCCGTAAATTCTGACGCTGTTACATCGCGTATACTGTTCTAGATGATTGTTCTTTTCTCCCAATGATTTGACTTTAACTTCCCTTTCATCTATTTGCTCTTGAAGCGTTTTGTTTTTATGTAGTAACTGATGGTTTCCTTCCTGCAGTTGATCGGTTTTTACTTCTAAATCTGATACTTTATTTCTCAGAGTTTCTATAACATCTTCTATCGACTTAACCCCATCACTTACTACCTTCACTTCTTTATGTATACTATCTAGTTCCTTCTGCACTTGGAGTTTAATGACTTTTTCTAGGTCTTTGAGCTTCTTACCAAGCAGATCCTCAGTAATCATTAATTTAAATTTTGATTCAATGTATTCTTGTGATGCTAACTGCCATCTAATAATACAGAAATTATTAATACAAATGAAACAATATGCCCTATAGTTTGATCAAAGGCAGCTTTTAAAAACTTCGTCAAAACATACTTTATCCCAAACATAAAAAGGTTACCTATAAGTGTTGAGAGATAGGAATGTATTTCGTCTGAAATCGGAGCATATACTTCCAACATTAGTATATAGGAGCATATCCAATTTATAGAGAATGTTGTTTATTGCTATTAACAGGAGTACCCAAAAAAGTCGTTTGAAAATGTTCACAAAAATAATAACATCCAGTGCATTTATGAATTTCGGAAATGTAAGGGGGCCGTATCCGCGCCCTTGCAGACCCACTTCACGCTGAGTTCTGCTGCAAAATGGCAATCGGAATATTTTCTTTTTCCGAGAAATAACACGGGCTCTCTGTTTATAAAGACGTCCATGCTGTTTCAGGATCTTCTGTGTCAAATCTAAAATTTGTGTTAAAAGAACGTAATGATTAATTTCGAATAAAAAGTTCTAAGCTCTCTATAAGGGGCATTCTCCACTTTCCTACTCCATTCTACTATCAAGGAAAACATTTCAAGAGGGGAAGAAAGGGGCATAACTTTGCCAAAATTAACGTTTTCTGTCTCTTGTCATTTCAAAATGAGTTCTTATTTCGAATGAACTTGTCATAAAAAACAGACTTGCGAAGAATATTTTGACTGTTTTTTGAGAAATGGACTTTTAGATCATTGATCTCAAAAAAGGTGGATGGCGGATTATAATTTTAAGATACATGCATTTTTTGATTTATGAAAAGTGAATCACTTTAAACGATTTGTAGAGAGAATACCAAAATAAATACGTTAATAAGTACTGACACAGACTGACACAGGTGGGTTCAACATAAAAGATTTTCATTTTAAGTTAAAAAAGAAGTGAAGCTGAATATAACGCCTATGAACACAAAATATTTTCTTGAAATGCTAAGCCTTAAAAAAAGTCTGTATATATATCATGCATATCTTTAACACGTATACTAGCATAAGCAGAACTTGAGCTAATTTCCTTTCAGCAATTATAACAATGACGGTACATTCTTCAAAGAATGAATATCTTCAAAGAATGTAGAAAGTTATATTCATATGATGATAAACCAGACATACCCTTGTCAGCGACACATTTACGAATCACGTTTCTGCATATTGGACATTTTGTAAGCGTTGGGTTTTGCCTACACATGCGGCGTAAACAATTCTCACAGAAAATGTGTTTGCATGGATCAAGGCGATGTGGATTGTAGTATAGCTCCAAACATATGCCGCAGGTTAAATCGGCCGGAATGTCTTGTCCCTAAGTGATAATATCATAAACTTAATAAACAAATAAATACTAGGTAGAGACATTGTAATATCTGGTATAATACACAAATATGCTTGAAGTATATAACCAATGCAACAAGTACAGTTTTTTGCGCCTGAAACTGATGCTTTGTATGCAAATGAATAGCATGAGAAACAAGCAAATTAGACACCCTGGAAAATGGTAAAAAACTGTTTAATTTGTCTATGCTGGTTGTTTCAATGAGTCAAAAGGGGAAACAAATTAAGCCACATCTTATGAAAAATTCACAGCATAAAAATCAAACTTCATTCTGAACTTAACCGGTATGATTATGTTAGATTTACAAAAGGCGTTTGACACTGTGGACCATGACATCTTGTGTAGAAAGTTACAAAAAATGGGTGTGGAGTCAGTAGAATGGTTTCAATCTTATTTAACTGGTCGTAGTCAAATTGTAAATGTAAATAATACTATATGTCTGAAGCTATGAATATTACATGTGGTGTTCCTCAGGGAAGTATATTGGGTCCTCTATTGTTTCTATGTTATGTCAATGATATGAGTATTAGTATTAGCAAAAAATGTAAGCTTATTCTTTATGCAGATGATAGTGCAATTTTATATTCACATAAAGATTCAGATGTTATTTGTAATGTTTTGGGTAAGGAACTAGAAAATTGTAGTAAATGGCTTGTTGATAATAAGCTATCATTACATCTTGGTAAAACAGAATGTATTGTTTTTAGTTCTAAGAGGAAATTGTCAAAACTAGAGCAGTTTAAAATACACTGTAATAATCACACCATACAATCTCAGCCATCAGTAAAGTATCTCGGTTCTATCTTGGATAATGATCTCTCAGCCACTTCTATTGTTGATAATATAGTAACAAAAAGTAAACTCTCGATTAAAATGTTTGTATAGACAAGGCAACAGTTTGAATATGGAGCTAAGAAAACTATTATGTAACTCTTTAATACAGTGTCACTTCGATTATGCCAGCTCATCTTGGTATAGTGGCCTTACTAAACAACTTAAAAATAAACTTCAAGTAGCACAAAACAAAGTTGTTCGTTATATTCATGGTTATTCCCTCTAGAAAAATCATTGAAAGTTATTGATTTTAGCAGTATTGGGTGGCTTAATATAGAAAATAGAGTCATACAGTTAAGACTCAATCATGTACACACAATATTTAATAAAAAGTGTCCATCTTATATGTATGATAACTTTTCTTTAAAGTCTGATGTTCATTGTTATAATAGTAGAAACAGTGTAGGGAACTTTCATATACCCCATGTTAATAGTTTTACAAAAAGTACATTTTTTACCAGGTTATTAGGGATTGGAACATGCTCCCACTTGATATTAAGAAGGAAAGTAACTTTTTTAACTTTAAAAAAAAAGTAAAAGCTGAACTAAGCAAAAATATGAAACAATTTGAACAAGCTGATTTTATTTTTTATTTGTTTTAGAGATAATTGTTTTAATCAATATAGTATGTTTTATATAAATGTATCTTGTGATTGGTTTTGTGATATATATAAATAGATATCTTTCATTGGTGTGTTAACTAGTCATATTCATAGTATTATTCCTGCAAATATGTGATATATGTAATTAACATAATGTGCAATAGAAATTAATATTATTTGATCTTAGAAATTTAACATCAGTCCAGTATATCATCTCTAAGTATGGACCTGAATGCCAGTTCTCAAGAAAATATATTCTTTACCATCAAAGGACCCCATTGGAAATAAGTTCTCTATTTATTTTGAACTTTCATAGGTTATCCTGTGTTGTATATATTGTCTTGAAGTCAACAAGATCTTTGATTTAATTATGAATGTAAAGTTATTATTTTTCAATTAATTACTGTGTTAAAAACAATGTGATAGATATATCTGTGATAAATTGTCTTAATTTGTTTTGTAATATGACATATATATATATACACAAATAAATCAATCAAAAAAAAAGATGTATCGGCATATTCTTGACCTCTGAATGACTTACGCGACACTCTGACTTGACATGACAAGTTGAAGTTCCAACTTTGTCAGAATTAGGTTTAAGCATATGACAAAGTAATTATATATTAATCCTCCCTCCACCCTAATTTTCACACGTGACGGCAACATTTGTGCCAAGTAAAATTGGAATTACATAATACATCAGTTAGTTACTAAAGGTAAGTTACATGGACAGTAAATTTCATTTATAGCAAATACTGTTTTAGCGAATTTCTGGCCCAGATATTGCAAGTTCTTTCTCTTTCACAAGTATTGCTTATACGAAACTCATATTTTAGTCTCATGGGAAAAGAATGTACTCAAAATACCATGTTAACAACGAACTCCAAACGAACTCTAAAGGTATTACAATTTATTTAAGGTGCGGTGGCTTTGTTTATTGGTGGCGTTTTCGAGATTTATGTACCTTAATGCAAACATTTCAAGACAGTGTTTCCATTATGATCTGTTTACAACAAATATACTGACCACTATCAATTATTCTTTTTGACAAGCTAAATATTTCAACAAATCATACATATCTTTATTTTCATTTGTATGACTTTTACCATACTTTACTTGCACACAATTCTAAACATTGTCTCCTTGGGTTTCTAATATCAATTTCTTATATCAATAGGTCATTACAAGCGTTAATAAAGATTTTTGTTTGTGTTTAATTCAATTAACTTCAGAGGCATTTTCAACAATATCTCTTTCATTTACATGGGGACAGTCACCGAATGTGTGTCTGGAATTCTGTACTGGTACTAGCCTATAGCGCTACTCGAAGCTGACAACTTCTCAAAATTACTCAACAGATGTGTAAAACGACATTAGACAAACTCGTATTGTCATCAACCAAGAAGTAGCAGAAACGCCAGAAAGCAGCGCTTCTCCAAAGCTCAAACTCGTTAACCCAATGTCAACAAACCTAACATATTAACTAGTACACTTTTTATACTGAATAATTTTGCAGGCCACTATAGCAGTAACCACATTTTATTCGATCATAACTGTACTGATATAAATATGTTTAATACTGTAGCATGCTTGTTTTGTTTGTTTGTTTCATTTTACGCCTTTTCCCAACAATATTTCAGTCATATAGGCGGGTAGTTTCCTAACCATCGTTCCTGGAGAGTTACACCAGTACTAGACTTCCTTCCTCCGTGCTAAACTACCAAAGCATCTCCCGGGGATCGAACCCACGCCAGAGAGGTAACTGGATTAGAAGTCATCGGCTCCAACCCCCCGACTACGGAGGCGGTACAAGCACAACTAAGGTCATAATTATGGTGGAGTGTAGTTGGGTAACAAATTCTACTCACAGCAAAATTATATTAAGACACCAGTGAATGACCTTAGGATACAGAAATTTAAGAGCATTTATATAAACGTACCTCTTTAAATTCTGTTTTTGATTTCTTTGGTCTCTTTTTGCTCTCCTTCACTGCGTCATAAGTTCTTTCATCAATTTGTTTATTGTTTTTGTGTCTTCTGTGTTCAAAAACATCTATTTCGGGAACATCGTCGTCATGTTCTTCCAAGACTGCAAATACGTTAATTATCTTTAACCAGATCACTTTCAGTATTTATATCAACAGCGAATTCAGGTGAAGTTAAATTTTAATCGGACAAATTGTTAAGCTCTTTTGGTAAATTGCTTTCGGGTTAATCAAAATTAATATCCAGTTCTGACAACATGTCATGTTTTTCGAGACAGTTTCCATGTGGCTCAAGTAAATAAGCATCTGCTTCAGGAAAATTCCGTTGAGTTGACCGACGAATGGTTTTCTGATTTTCCTCTGTATGTCCTTCAAAGCAGGAACGTTCTCTTCCACTAATGGTTTCACTGTTACTATTGGTGATTTGACTACAATATGTATCTTTGTTTATTGAAGAATCAATTATGTCCTTTATATCATCCATATTTAAAGTCTGTATAAGAGTAGATCTGTCTGTGTTTGGGTATAGGACCAGTGCAGTTTTTAGTTCCGAGAATGTGTCTGAAAATTAACAAGTTTGCATTTAAACAATGCAACTTTGTATATAGCGACAAAAAACACCATATGGAGTATGGTTATTAAAGTTACTTACAGTTATACTCAATACGACCCAAAACGGATGTGAATCGCCTTCAAGACAGTCCGCTCCCAAATTTCATACAAAATTACTCCTGACTAAACTTGTTTTAACAAACTTTAAATTGATGTCAATGGTTTAAAAAACCGTTAGTTGATCAGGAATGAAAAGGGAATTAAAAAGGTAACATTTTAATTATTTCATCAAAACGCATCATATTGTGATCAGAAAATTCACCCAGTATCTATGATAAATCAATATTCTGGAGTGAAAGATTGCCAAAGTGGAAGTGAGCCCTGCATTTAGGTATGAACTGTCTAGGGAGAGAAATGTCTAGAGTATGAAATAAATCTTTGATTGAAATATCTGACATTAATTTTCACAAGCCAATTTTTACTATTTGTTTCTACAGAAGGTACTGAAAGAGTGAATTTGAATAATATAGATTAGATTGCAAATAATTATTTATATCACCTTGGAACGATAGACTGGGAATTTTTACTATTTATCACCTTGTCAAAAGTGAACTTTTTATCGAAATTGTTAATACAAATTTTCCAAACATTTACAATTTTGGGAAGGTAATGACTGGCAAATATTCTGTCTGCGACATAAAAATATTTCTATTTTCTTTAGTTATTTCAATGTTATTCCCAGCAAAGATTTATATTACAATGTAATATAAATCCGTGTTCCCAGCTGACTTGAGTAGATGATGAAGATATTCCAACTTCAGTCCTCGTTAATTTATTACACGCCACCTTCAAAAAATAACAGGAGATTTTCGTCATTTTATGACAATTTGTAAGTTAATATACATGATAAAAGTAGCGGACAGCAACAAAGATGTAAATATTTTTTAAATAACTGCATTATCATATAATTATGTCGCAACTAAGACCCCGTTAAAAGGTTTAAATTAAGTAGAATAGAGTATTGCTCGGATAATGTAAATTTTCGGATACCAGGTCATTACACCTCTTTCTTTGTTTAATTTACCACTGATTATCTACCTGTCATGTTGTTACTTATTGTCAAATAAATTAAATAGTGTCAATTGTGAATTGGCTTTTTTCATCATTAAAATTTTTATTGATTGTCTCTCTATAGAAAATTTTCTTTTGATTAAAATTTAAATTAAAAATTAAAAGTTTACTGAAACATTAAGACTATATTAATTCAATGACATACGGGTCAGATGAAATACAAATCAATATTATAAAACAGTCTATGATCGATTAATTAATCAAAAATGCGTCACTCATAAAATGACATTGTCGCAGAAATAACCTTACACTACATCAAAATAGAGTTATAATCAGTGCCATTAGGTTGATAACTTGTTGACACGTACGTGTGATATGCCTGAGAAGGGAGATAATTCTATAGGTACATGTGAAAACATAGTTACCTCCCGTGAACACTGTAAAAAACTAAAATAAGATCGTAATTACATATCGGTTAAACAAACCCAGCAAACAAAAGACGTTGTACCAACGTTGTACTGACGTTAGACCCTGACGTTGGGTAAACGTTGGCAGAAGGTTGGATTTGAAAGTTTTTTAGACGTCAGAAACTGACGTCTATACAACGTCATAAAATGACCTTTATCCAACCTTTTCTGACCATAATCCAACCTTTTCTGACTATTATCTGACCATTAATCCAACCTTTTCTGACCATTATTTGGACATAATCCAACCTTTTTCTGAACCATAATCCAACCTTTTCTGACCATTATCTGACCATATGCCGACCTTATCTGACCGAATTTTCTGACCATGATTTAACCTCATTCAAAACTTTTGGAATATGATTTTTTTCATTTTGAAGCTCTTAATAGGGTTAATAAATAAGCATTCTTATGATTTTAGCAATTTATTTTATACTCGGAATCACAGTACAAAACAAGAAATGTGGTACTATAATAAATGCAAGATTTACATAATATTTTTTGAAACTATTAAAACTTGACGGCATGTACTTTAATAATGCTTCATGTATTAATTAAGCATGTTTTAGAAATAAGATAAACAAAAATCCTTCTTTGAAAATTAACACTGACATTTTATATAGCAAACATCCATGCATGTGTTTTTTTTCTTATATCACCACTGAACTGATCACTCTGAGTTTGGGATTTTTCAATCATCTATCCAACTCACTGATTGTATATTTGTCTTTGTATTTTATAACTGAATCTAGATCTGAATGTTAAATGGAACAATATTCTGAATATTTTGTTATAACTATAAATAGCAATGTTCATGTATCTTCATTAGTATTCTAGCTTCTTTCGTCCTCCTACACTATGTCGATCTGGGGCATACTATAAGCGTATCATTACCGTCTCCAACCTGAGATCTCATCACACTTTCTGAAATTAAAAAAAAATAATAATCAGTTACAAGTGCAAGAAATAAATCACTTATACATATAATATTTAAACGAAATTCTAACAAAACTCTCCAACTACTTAAAAAGATACTTATTATTTCTAATTTAGTTTAAACCATGTAGTTTCGTGTACCTACTGTATATATCTATTAATTTTGATAAAAATGGCTTCGTGAATTTCATTTTAAAATCAAGGGTAATAAGATCACTGTATTTTCTATAATATTTTGAAATATACCTGTCACAAAATCTTGGTAGGTTTTCATTTTTCTTTTCCTCTAAATATTTTCATCTTCCTCCTGAACTTTTGACACATGTTCAATTATCACAATTTTCACAATCTGAAAGACGAAATATAATCGTTTTAGAATTTAACCATATGGTGGAAGGATGTTTGTCTAATACAATAGGCAAAATCCAATTACTATTAATCTTAGTTAACTCATAAGCGCATGAAAAACTGATATAACACAGGGCTCATCCGGAAGGGCGATTCAGGCGAAAACTTCGCCGTGTATATTCCAATTTCGCTCTTCCGATTGATCAAAGAGAAGTCAACATCGCCGATAAAATCTTAATTCCCAAATAGTAATTACTTAGCGATGTAAAGAGCAGAGATTGTATCCGCCCATATGACGACCGCTAATTATCATTATCCAATCAGAGCGTCGCTTTATACTACCCTTCTACCTGTAAGCGAAGCGATAGACCGCCTACTCTAAACAGTAAATAATGAGAGCATCGGCCCGAAACGGTATAATTGTGTGATAGTTTTGCAAGTTTAATACGGGATTTGGCGATAATTATAAACTGTTTTTTCCCCGATTATCTAAACAAGTGCAATCTTCCCTAATTGATATACACGATGCACTTCGATGGTGGGTTTTTAACCCGAGTAAAGGCGATGTGCAATGGATTATTCACGGCTATCACAAAACTGGTAGTCAATTAAAGATAATCAATTTCATTAATGATCAGCGACCAGATTAAAAACTTAATCATAGTTTTGAATGATTTCAGTCTGTTAACATCAATTTTTACTGTAAAATTGTTATGTCGCTCACGTCATGGCTACAAGGCGAAATGCCGAAACCGAGCAGTAAGAAAGTTACTGATTCTGATAGTTACACCTACGCGAAAATTTAAGAAAGCCAATTCGCAAAAATCTTGCGATTGGTATGTTGTAGACAGTAGGGGTGTTTGGCATTGTTCTCTTTGTAGAAATCCTAAATTTGACGCAGTTTACGCACGTGGGCCCATCCCGGCTTAACTATGTATATCGGTCGTATATCATGTAACGTGTATATAACAACAACATTTGTCTGGAAAGAAGTGTTCTTATTGTTTCAAAATAAATTCGTAAATATGACGCTCAGATTAAGATTTATCAATATTGTAAATTTTAAAAAGCATTATTTATAAAGATATTACCGAATTTAACATTTCATGAAAATAAAGGGAGGTAATTAGAAATTAATTTTCTACAATTTCTCAGTCAAATTTTTCAATAAGAAATGAATGTATGTAATTTTAGTGATCAAATATAATGTGCACAAATGTTTGCAGTACATATTTTACATATTCTTTGATGTTTGAAAATTGTTTTATAAGCATAATTATATACATATAAATATGACATCACAACAATCAGGATTTTGAGAGAAATTTCTGTTACCAGAACAGAATAGAACAGATATTATTAATTAATATCCAATGTGACTTTACCTTCTTTTAAAAGTAAAAAAATATGAAATTGATTTTATCATCATATCTTTTTTTACACATTATTATCAACAAATGTACATGAAAATATATAAACACATATTTAGAGAAAGCTTATAAATAGCTGATCAATAGATATCAAAAATAATTTTTTATTCATATTTGCAGCTCAAAAACATTTAGATGCAATTGCCTGATCTACTACTAAATAATAAATCTACTTTTAATTAATACTACTATTAATTAATTAATAAACTGGAGAAATATTATAAGTGATGTTAATTGTGTTTATATTATAATTAAAGGATGTATAGCCATGCATGTTAATGCATACACATTGGGTTGTTTCCCTTCTCCCTAATTTTCGCGAGGTCGTCACTTCTCCCTAAAATTTCCCCCCAGGATGAGCCCTGTAACAAATACCAAAATGAAATTAATTCTACTCCCGCAAAAATTGATATTGTTATTTTTTTATATTCAATGTCCTTTGTACAAATGCTCATACAACATCAAGAAATTCACATGTTACTGTCATTTTTATAGATATCATCTCTGCCCAGCATGATCTGGTCTGCTAAGTGTATTTAGGACAGACTGGCTTAGTGTAAAAACGTTTTATGATACGAGCATACAACTTGTTGATAAGCAGGCTAATTAACAAACTATTACTTTTATTGATTTATAACTATGATAATGTGTTTTCTGATTGATAATATGTTGTTTGATTACATTAATAAAAAGATAGCTAGTCAAATACAATGTGCTTTCAGATATATCTTACCAAAGTCGTATCATTTACATGTATCAAATGCCATGAATCATTTTCATAATATAAGAAACACATGGTATGCTAACAGTATTGGTAAAGTACTTCAATTAACAACGAGTAGTTTAACAACTACACAGATATCAAATCAAACTTTATCTGATACATGTGTAAATGACTGGCCCCTCATATAAGGGAAATTCGTGCTGATAAGAAATAAGAGGAAATTTTATTTACCAGCATTTAAATAATAAGAGAATAACGTACTGCATTTAACTTTTTATTGATTTCAATTGCTAAGATATTTCCTACCATTGATTGTGCATTTATTTGGCATGGCGATATAGTGTGGGAAAAATGATCCGATTATACAGACTGTTCTATAGCAAATGATAAAGTGTTCTTACGTGGAAACAAAGATATTTATCTCGCGAAATCACGTTACATTAAGTTTTACCAGTCAAACATTTCAATGATCAAATAACCATCGAATCCAATCAAACATGCGGTAAATAAGCATTGAAAAACAATATATAATGTTTGCCTACCTTTTTCTTTTGTTCGGAATATACAACTTTGTCTGTCAACCCGTCGTTTTTTTGTCCGCCAATACAATTGAATTTCAAATCCGATAAGTCGCAAATTCGAATTTACTAAATTATTTACCACTATAAAATGAAGCCCTCAAAAATGATAACAGCTTCATTGTAAATTATATAAACACTTCTTAGACTAATTCGAGGAGATAAGATATTATTTAAACGAAAATAGAGCAAATATATTTCATACTGATCTGCGACTATCCGTTTACAGAGCGCCACCTATCGAATATCGTACGTTAGCCACCCACGTGATACTGTTGTTTTGATGGAGAAAATAAATATATAATGTTCCCTTTCTTAACTTAAACTTAAAATTCTCGCTGTTTATGCTTTCATTTATATATATATATTGGTTTCATAAATTAAATTCACCTATTGTCAGATTACCGACCAAAACCCGACGTCGAGCCGACGTCAAAATGAAACGTCTGTTAGACGTCGGGGATTCAACGTCGATTTGACGTTGTATGAAGGTCACCGACGTCGCTACCAAAATTCAACGTTGATCCAACGTTGGGTCAACGTCGGGTGTTTGCTGGGAAGTGTCTTGGGATAGTCTTGAGGTGTCTTGGGGTGTCTTGGGGTAGTCTTGGGGTGTCTTGGGGTAAATAGACCGACCGGTCATGGACGAACCGGCCTCAAAACCCAGGTCTTTTTGGCACCTTTTTAATTTGTTAAATATATAAAATAAATATGATTATGGGTTATAATATTGTATAAAATGTTACAGTTGCACTCTACCTGAAAGGTCATAATTTCTCACGGTTAGTACTTTTTACTAGACACTCTTTGTACAGGTATACATACATGTAGTTTAGCATGCTTTTCATGACTTTTTTTGCACAAGACTGCCAAGACATATCTTTTCTCTTGGCAGTGGAGACTTTCAACTACAATTGATCTATCAGGTATTAGTAACAGAGTAATTCATACTATTATTTACTTGGTCCAAACTGTAATAATTGGTGCTGCGAGACTAAATAAGGTTTATTCTTGCGGGTTATTTTTTTTTTTTATTTGTAATAAATTTTCAAGTAATCTTTGACAATTTTTTGTTCATTTTGAAACTTCAATTTTAATTTGTAAACCCCATTTTGACCATGTGGTAGCACATATTTGAAATTTTTTGTTAAAATTTGCGTACCAGTATTATTATAAAGACCTGCCTTCATGTAAAGTGTATTTATTATTATTGATAAATACATTTACTTTGTAATTTAAAAACCCTATTGAAAGTTTAGGTTTCTAACTAGTTTTTTTCGGTTGGTTTATGTGAATTAGTTAACATTTACAGTGCTCCTTAATTTTGAGGGGTGTAACCCCCATTGCACATGTTACCATCATTGTTACCATGTGCAATTTTTTTTTTTTTTTAGGAAGCATAGAGCTATTAGGTCTATACTATTTTAGGTGTTTATATTAAAATTAAACACTATTCTTTTGGTATTTTAATTAAACAATTAGGTAATTTAACTCAAAATTAATATTTTCAAATCTTTGTTGTTGTTGTTGTTGTTGTTGCAGTAGCACTGTTTTATAAAAGGTCAACCCCCTATGCCATGTGCTTATAATATATCAAATAATATTGTAAGCCTTTGTTGATTTATTGTTTGCATTGTTGTAAACAATTTCATTTTATTTGTAGTTTAAGGTTATATTTATTTAACCTTTACAACAACTTACATGGGTTTTGTGCCCATATATATAAACATATATAAACAATTAACTTCGTTTCAATTGACAATGACTTGTTACAAAAGATTGCTCGCCAAGATGGACAACCTGTCTCACAAAATTGAGCACAAATGTGATGCCCTGTCGGAGCAAATTGCTCTTTTGCTAGCTCGAAATGAGCCTAGTCAGAGACCTCCGGCATACATGCCCCCAAGTCCGGCTAAGCAAAGCCAAGTAAGACCCCCACCTGGTTTTGATAACATTCAATATAGGGGCCGAGGATTTGAACCATTACAAAAGTAGTTGACTGTTGAGTATTCCAGCAGTACTCAGAGTGAGTCTGTCTACCCTGGACAGATATCACCAAACTGTGCTTCAAACATTCACAAGAAAAAATAAATGACAAATGAACAGCAGGAATTTGAATCCATGTCTGATGATTTGCAGGATGAAATAGATGATGTTTTGGCTTTCATCGACAGCATTTGCCCCATAAATGACAGTACATAATCTACTGTAACAGTACATTATATGAAAAGTATCAATTCATATACATGTGCATAAAAGTATATGACAAAAATATAATTAAAATGAGAATCACAGATTTTGAGAAAGAAAAGAAATTTGTCACATTATAGAACGGGGCGTCCGTGGCCAAGTGGTTAAGGTCGTTGACTTCAAACCACTTGCCCCTCACTGCTGTGGGATCGAATCCCGACATGGACTTTGGATTCTTTCTTGTGAGGAAGCTATCCAGCTAGCTTACGGAACGTCAGTGGTTCTACTCAGGTGCCCGTTCATGCCTGAAATAATGCACGGAAGGGCACCTAAGGTCTTCCTCCACCAGTAAAGCTGGAACGTCGCGATATGACCTATACTGTGTCAATGTGACGTAAAACCCAAAACAAATAGACATTATAGAACAACAAAGCATTTACAAACCCATACACTACATGTTATCATTATCCCATTTTGGTTTTACAGATCTGCAAGAATCCACAAACCGCCTTTACATATGTTGATTTTTTATTGCAGACTTTGAGGGGTCAGGTGCTTAATGGTCTTATATTCAATCAGGAACAGACTGGACCTTATAGATGTACAGATGCAGAAAATGCCGACAGAATCTGAATGTGCAGGATTCTGTTATCAAAGAAATTCCATGTAAGTTATAGAAAATATTACCCTTATATTTCCATACATGTGAACTCTCCCACTTTTAGCGGGAGACTCCCACTTTCTGCAGCCATATTTTCAAAGATTTTTCTTAAAATAAGGGGTATTTTAACAAATTAAAGAAATCTCCCTCTTTTTGATGTCAGAACTTTCTTCTTTTTTTATTGCAAATTCTAAAAACTCCAAAGAAAAATCTCCCACTTGATCATTGATAAAAATTCACACATATGTATTTCTATATCCTGGACATGTATTATGCTATGAATGGACTGTAAATCTTTAACATGTATTACTTGTTCTGATAATTTCAATGTACATTGTACCACAATGTTGTTGCAATTATTTCTGTAATATTGTAGTTGTATATATTGTAAATTATGTTTTTCTTAGAGGCCCACATGGAAGATTGGGAAACCAAATGTGTAGCCTCGATAAATAAAGCCTTTACTTACTTACTTACTTACTTACTTACCCCTTGGTAATTTTACTATTTTAATACCACTTTGCAACAAATTGTACTGTTCTTGAGTGTTGTCAGTCACTTTTTCTATCAACAATAAGTGCATGTTTCTTTTAAAATTAAGAAAATAAATTTATTTCAACCTCCGTAAATGCCTAAATGGTAATTTTTTAATGTCTATTTCAAGAATGTTGACATTGAAATTTGGGGGTTAAGAAAGCAATGCCTGACCTCATATACCAGCTATAATCATTTGCAGAGTGAATAATAAAATATCCAAAACTTCAGCATTTGTTGCTGACATATTGTATATCATGTTAAAAATCAAAACACCCAAGCTTTAATCTTAATAAAATCACGTCATGTACATATCTGTCCGGACACATGGTACTGTAGTGTAGACAATTTAGGTAATTTTGATACCCTCCTTGTCGAGCCTCAGATATAAGTGTTAATACAATCAGAAATAAACAAACTAGTTTGTTAGTTAGGAGAAGAACCTAGCTGAACTGTGCCAAATTTTTTGGTCTCCAGGTAAAAAATTATGAAATCTGTACGAAAAAATGGTCCAAAAGTGTCTGGTTGATGGTCTCCGAGCAGTAAACCTAAGTATTCCCCAAAGACTTAAAGTTTATGCTTCATTACTTTCGATATAATGGTTACTGTAAGTTTTGAGTTCTTTCCCTGAAAATAATCAGAACTGGTGTCATATGAGGAAACATGGTCATCTGAGTATGGCTTGAACTCGTAAGCTCTGTGTTGAGAGGAAGACAACTTAACCACTAGGCACTGCTCCCACCTGCAGCTTTAAGCAAGGTAAGCATGGCCTTGTGTTTTTTTAAGTGATTGTTAAGAATTTCAAGGATTGGTAAAAAGAAGATTGTATAATTTTTGTTGGAACTTTTCAATGAATAGTAATGCTATCCTACTCACATGGGTGTCAGCATTATACTGGTTAAAGTTTTTCAAGCCTCTTTTAGTACAACATTATAACTTAGGCACCACCAGCAAAAATAAGATATCTGCATGTTACTTCATACACTTAATTGAGATCATAATAGAAGGTCACTTCCCAGGCCCAAAACTCTTTATTTTGACCTTTTGAGAACTTACAAAATTCCTTGTTTAAGTTTTGCATGCAACATCAATCAGGTTTTCACTTGTAAATTTACACATTTCCTTGTGACCATGGTTGGATGTCGCTATCCAAGGCCCTTAATTTTGACTGAATTATATATCGCTTTATAAATTTAGAAATTTTTTAGTTATAGTGGTGACCTAGTGGTTAAGCTAGGTGTCTTCCTATTAACACAGGGATCATGGGATCGAGTCTTATTGTGGTCACAACAATGTTTCTTCATGAATATGACATCTGGAAGTGGACTCAAAAGTGATTAGTATAAATTTAACAACTTGTTTCCCAATCAAGCTTCCATAAATGAGCCGCGTCATGACAAAACCAACATAGTGCGTTTGCGACCAGTCTGATCAGGATCCATGCTGTTTGCTTACCAACTCTATTACAAGTAGAGAAAATGATAGCTAACAGCATGGATCCTGATCAGACTGCGCGGATGCACAGGCTGGTCCGGATCCATGCTGGTCGCAAACCCACTATGTTGGTTTGTCGTGACGCGGCTCAAATATTGTTAATTACTCATGAATTACATAAAGACAGTTATAGTTATCTCATCATTGTTAAAGTATGTTCAAAGCTGTGTTATTAATCATAATATACATTAATTTTATCCTTACTTTTTTACATAGACTGCACAGATGCAAGTGCCTGTCAATCAAGTGTATTATATTTGGATGTAGACACTTGTCCAGAGTGGATTGTGCATTCATTTGAACAGGTATTGAAAAATATTAAAGTGAGCACTTTCCTTATTGTGTAGCTTTCCTTAAGATTTACTTATATTGCAGGGTTTTCTGAAAAAGCATGCATTGATACATTTAAAGCTTGAACAGAAAAATTGACTGAATACTCACAAGGTAGATATTTTGATGCACCTGCTATTAAATTACCAAGCTTAATATTTTGATTTTGCACCTGACATTGAATAACCGAAGGACTGAAAAAATAAAATTGACAAAGTTATTACATAAATGTGTATTTGTTTCATTTCAAACAGCTCATCTTAAGCTTTTGTTAAGGAATTGACAGGATATCTGTAATGTGAAGTACAGGTAACAAAAATATGCATAATCCTTGGGAGGCACCAACACTGTCTTGTAGAAATTCTCTCTTGGAGTGAGTGAGGTGCTAATACTCTCTTCCTTACGTCACTTTCATTACATTTTTCTGACATTGAGTCACCTTTTTTATGGAATAAAATACCTGGGTACTCAGTGGATCCCTGATTCTCTGAGAATTTTGCATTTTCTGGTTATCTGTCCTGTATATGATCCAAAACTGCTCAAAATGTTTTCCAATGTTTTGAAACTGTAAACAAATCTAGTGACATGTGTCTTTTGATCAATGCAACATGTGTCACATTGGCATTATTATCCTCCCTGAAATAATCAGCTTAGCATATAATTACTGGTTTATCCTATTTACCTTTCATCATATTAATTGTACATGTGAATGTAGCTTACAGCACCATCATGTAATAACTTAGATCTTACATATGAGCCGCGTCACGACAAAGCCAACAATGTGCGTTTGCGACCAGCATGGATCCAGACCAGCCTGATAAGGATCCATGCTGTTCGCTATCTGTTTCTCACCTTGTAAAAGGGTTGGTAAGCGAACAGCATGGATCCTGATCAGACTGCGCAGCAGCGCAGGCTGGTCTGGATCCATGCTGGTTGCAGTTGCACTATGTTGGTTTTTGTTGTGATGCGGCTCATATTTGAAAATGTTGGTACAAATGTACTTTCCATACTGTAAATTTACTTTATTTTGTGGGTAAGAAATTCTGTGGCTTTAGCACAAAGGACAAATTTTTGGTTTCTGAAATTAGTGGATTGTCTGTAGTATACTAAAAGTAACATGCAAATAATATAATGCAAAAAAATCTTACAGCAAACAAAAAATGTCTTAGATGGTGTGCTGGGGCGGGGGTATGTATGGAAGCAATATTTGATGTTGTGACTTAAACAACAACAAAAATTAAGTTTTTACCAGAATCTAATGGTTATCTTTTCAGACAAGCTGGACAAAAGGGAAACTACTCTGTGTAAAATGTAATGGAAGATTGGGTTCATTTGATTTTGTCTATAAGAAAGTTTGCAAGTGCCTTCAACATCCCATTCCTCTTGTACATTTACTGAAAGACAGAATAGATGTGATTGAAACAAGGTGAGAACTTGTAAAAATTAACCTGCTAAAGTTTTGTAATGCATTTGACTTGTTTTGAATTTGGAACAGTCTTTCCAACGTTTTAGGTATTTTAATATCCCTCAGAAATATCAACCAGTAATGATTTTACACATGCGCTATTTCAGATACAAATATGAACTTTGTGATAGCAGTTTAAGATTTAGATTTTGTATCTGCATTTGTTAGCTCGACTATTCGCAGAATAATCAAGATAATGCAGTCATCCATTTGTCAGCATCGGCGTCCCTGTGGTTTAGTTTTTGCGTGTAAACTGGTATCTCCATAACCAATGAAGGAAATGGATTGAAACTTCACACACTTGTTCTCTGTAATTATATAACATGATTGGCACAAGTCCCATAACTGATTTTTTTTTGGATAATTATGCCCCTTTTTCGACTCAGAAATTCTTGGTTAAGTTTTTGCTTGTAAACAAGTATCGCCATAACTACTGAAGGGAATGGATTGAAACTTCACACACTTGTTCTCTGTGATTATCTAACATGATTGGCACAAGTCCCATAACTCTGATTTGCTTTTTTGCATATTTATGCCCCTTTTTCGACTTAGAAATTCTTGGTCAAGTTTTTGCGTGTAAGCAAGTATCTCCATAATTACTGAAGGGAATGGATTGAAACTTCAAACACTTGTTCTCTGGAAGTATTTTACATGATTTGCACAAGTCCCATAACTCTGATTTGTTTTTCTGTATAATTATGCCCCTTTTTGGGCTTAGAAATTTTTGGTAAAGTTTTTGCTTGTAAGCTGGTATCTCCGTAACTACTGAAGGCTTTGTGCCTTTTTTGGAACAATTTTATGCATTCTTATAATATAGCAGTGATTAACTCGATAAAACATCTTAATAACAAGCCTTTGTACCTTTTCGCACAATTTTATGTATTCATATAGGTGAGCATTATTATACTCGATGAAACAACCTTGTGACAACTTTTTGAATAGTCAAGCATTACTGTCCTTTGACAGTTCTTGTTTATAGTTTAAAATATTACTTGTTCCTTGTCATGGAGAGTTTCTATATTCAGGTGAGCGATTTCAGGGCGATCCTGGCACTCTTGTTTCTAGTACATGTAGATACAAATAAATTTACAACTTCATTCAAAATGGCCTGATGATGTCATTGTTCATGCATAATAGACATGCAGGAATAGCATTATTTAAAGCACACCTCTTGTCTTACAGCATAAGCTAAGTTTCCTAGCATCATTGTAAACAGTTTTTTTTCTGTCTGATTTGCAAGTAACTTTTATTTGTTATTGTACAAAACTTCATATATTTTCAGACACATTTCTAGAACTCCTTTTGTACCCCAGCATAGACAGATAGAAAAGCCAAACTCTTGTACAGAATCTTCAGATGTAGTTCTCAGGAATGATATATCTACTGCTGCTATAAACAAAGAAGATTCAAATGCAATTCCATTTTCTGAGATAATTAACAAAGATAGGAATCTTCCTTTTGTAGAAGATATCATTGTAGAATCTCAGAAAGACAACCATCAGGCAGCATGTAACAGTCTTCCCCACACCAGCCAAGGTGCTTCTTTTCTTCAACCGGATAACAGCTGTAATGATCCACCGGAAGATTTGCCTGAAATTGCTATTAATTTGCATGAACAGGAAAGAGGTTTGCCTGAAGAGAATGACCCCTTGCTTGATGAAGATTTGAATTTACCAGAATTTGATGATGTGAACGCATATGCTGTGTTAGATTGTGAAGAGCTTGAACTGGAAGATTATTTTGCTGAAGTAGATGGCAGTGTTCAAGAAACAGAGATGTTTGGGGTGGAAAGACACAAACACAAAAGAAGAAAAAACAAAAGGATGTTTAAAGCATTAAAGAAAAACAGAATGAAGCCAAAGAAATTAAAAGCAGAATCTAATGTTTCCAGAGATTCAAATGAAATAAAAGGAGAAGATTCAAAAGAAGATTTCAACATTTCAGAAGACTGGATAGAACAGGTGAGTTCATTGAATTAATTGTTGCCCTACTGGAACCAATAGTGAAAAGCATTTGCAACCAGTATAGAGTAAGGCCAGACTGAATGCATCATTCATTCTGAACATACTGTTGCTGGACTTAATCTTGATATTCCCAGAATTGACAATTGGCAGTTGAAAAAGTTTGGCAAAGGAAGTTGGACGAGTCCATTAAAAATGTATGAGATTGTTAAATTTTTACAACTAGTAAAAATTATTGCTTTTATCTATACTATTGTCAACTGGATATAGCTTCTATGGAAGCTGCCAAAATGATATTTTGTCAAGTTATGATGCCAAAGTGGAAAAGGTCAAACAGCACCTTAAATTAAATAATAATTACCTAATTTTTACATTTCATAAAATGTTTTGGTTCTATTTTGGTTGATTGATACATTTATTTGGTCATGAAAAACAGTTTAGACTGTATGATTGCATAACTTACAATCATGATTTTTTCTTTGAATTCTTCAAATTTTGTCAGCATTGTTTTCCAAACTGAGCATGCCAAAGTTTCTTCTTAATGTATGTAACTCCAGAAGCCATTAAATTAATACTATAGGTGTTAAATCATTTCATAACATACATGTAAATGTTGACATTTATACTATAAAATCATAACCTTTAGCAAGAGATTAGGTTTTGTTGTTTACATTAATTGAAGATTTTGGCAAAAAATAAATTTTCCTTGGTATTTATCAAATTCTTGTAATTTTGAAAGTTAAAATACGAAATATTTAAGTTTTAAGTCCTAAAGTGTTGATTTCTTAAAGTTTTGACCATGCTAAAAGTATTTGAATTTACAATGTGCCACTAAGTTATCTTGCAATTGAATATGCATGTAGATATAGTGTATATATAATATAATGTGAACTCTGAATGGACTGGTAACAAAAAATGTTGAATAATTGAACATACTAGTTTTAGGTAACGTCTTAAAACTATGGCATGATTATGTGAGAGAAGCAGGTCATTAAAGATTATATTTAACATTTATGGTGTATGAAAAGATAAATATGTATTGCTTGTGACACAATGTTATATTCTTATATATGTACTATGTATTATTTATTTTTGATGTATCATCACACAGGGACATGACATTCCACCAGATTTGACCTGCGGTATATGTTTGGAGCTTTACTACAGTCCACATCACCTTGATCCATGCAAGCACATTTTCTGTGAGAATTGTTTACGCATGATGTGTAGGCAGACGCCAACACTTACACGTTGCCCATTATGCAGGAGGGTGATTCATAAATGTGTATTTGACAATGGTATGTTATGAGTATTTCTATTATGTATGTTTAAATTTGATACTCGTTATTTTAAAGGGGCTTCACAGTGTGATTTTACACAATATGACTTGAAATAATTTTACGAGATTGGAGTACCATTTTATGTAGGTTTAAACATAATTTGTTTGTAGAATTTCAAATCATTTGCCCCATTTCTTCCCCAATTATTATTATCCCCTCCGATGGAATCGGGAGGGGGATATTGTTTTGGCATTGTCCGTCCGTCCTTCCGTCCATCCGTCCGTCCGAATTTCGTTTCCGGAGTAGTTCTCTGCAACTACTGGCTGGAATACAATGAAACTTTATGAGAATCATCAATATCAAGAGGAGATGCGCATATCGTCGGCTTGTTCCGGTCCGACACTTTAACTCAGAGTTATGGCCCTTGTTTAGTTATGCAGTATGCATATAGAGTAAAAATCGTTTCCGCGCTACTTCTCTGCAACTACTGGCTGGAATTCAACGAAACTTAATAGGAATCTTCAATATCAAGAGGGGATGCGCACATCATCGGCTTGTTCCGGTCTGACACTTTAACTCAGAGTTATGGCCCTTGATTAGTTATGCAGTATGCATATAGAGTAAAAATCTAAACGCGCTACTTCTCTGCAACTACTGGCTGGAATTCAACAAAACTTTATGGGAACCTTCAATACCAAGAGGAGATGCGCATATCATCACCTTGCTTGGGTCAGACACTTTAACTTAGAGTTATGGCTCTTGATTAGTTATGCAGTATGCATATAGAGCAAAAATTGTTTCCGTGCTACTTCTCTGCAACTACTGATTGGAATTCAACAAAACTTTATGGGAACCTTCAATACCAAGAGAAGATGCGCATATCATTGCCTTGTTGGGGTCAGACATTTTAATTCAGAGTTATGGCCCTTGATTAGTCATGCAGTTTGTATATAGAAAAATATTTGTTTCTGCGCTACTTCTCTGCAACTACTGGCTGGAATTCAATGAAACTTTATGGGAACCTTCAATACCATGAGGAGATGCGCATATGGTCGCCTTGTTCGGGTCAGACTTTTTAACTTAAGAGTTATGGCCCTTGATAACTTATGCAGTATACAACCAGAGCAATAATCGTTTCCGTGCTACTTCTCTGTAACTACTGGCTGGAATTCAATGAAACGAAGAGGAGATGTGCATATAGTCACCTTGTTCCGGTCAGACAGTTATAACTCAGATTTATGGCCCTTAATTAGTTATGCAATATGCATACATCTCATTATTACTATTTAACACAAAGTTATGGCTCTGTTATTGCCCTGAATATTTATCAAGTTCAAAGAATATTACTGCTTATGCCAATTGATAAATATATAAATAAAGCCTTATGTCTTCAGTTGTTGTGTTAGTAATAACCAGTACTCGGCGGGGTATATAAATTCAACGAATTTGCTTGCTAGTTTTCAAAATGACCCAAAAAATGAAACTGCTTTTGCTCAAATCAGCCAAAGAATGGTGCCAAAAATTGATTTTTAACTTATATCTGTGTATATTTCTTTATAAAGGTTTACACAGTTTTCCCGCATTTTTTAGGCCTTTAGACCTCAGTTGAGTTCCTTTAATTATCCTTTCTTTGGATTATTGCTGGCAGCACTGTTGCTTGTGTTAGTCTGTTTGTGAAGCTTGCTCAAAATGACTTCAAAAGTAAATTTACACAAAATAATATGCATTATTTTGTATGCTTATACAAGTTTATAAGTTTAATGGTGGAAGTGTGATTAACTTCATCAACATTATTAAAAAGGTGTAAAACTAGAGCATTTAATTTGAAACCCTTTACCTTTGAGACAGTCTACCTATACAACTAGTGCAGACCAAGAACTAGACTGTTCAATCTGCATTGTTTAAAATTCTCCCTTAAAGTTACCAATGGTTTTGCCAATTTTGAAAGATGGACAAGTCCATTCAAGTTAAAAGGTGGTAAGAGTCTGGTATTCCTTCAAATGTTAATGATGCAAAAAGACACAAAATATATCACTGCTTCAGTTTTATAGCCAGATAAAAGTACCAAGTCTTCGATAACCTTGTATTACTGGAAGCAAGAAACTTACTCATCATCTCGTTTCTTCTAAATATTTAAACCTGTGCTGTTATCTAATATTTCAATGATCATTGGTGAACGGTTAAAATCGAATTTAAGATAGCATAATATTTTGTTCTGAAACATTTTATTCTCTATATGAAGAGTTTTTTTATGTGTGTTAGGTAACAGAGACATTTAATGTTACAACTCTTCTCTTTAAAGTTTATTCACCCTAAGATTATGGAAACAACATTAGTTTACTGCTTTTTATATGCCCGAAAACATTTCGGGCATATTGTGTTAAACCCCTGGCGTCCGTCCGTCTATTAGCAATTGGGTTTCCGGAGCATAACTAAAGTTCCATCTGGCCCACAATATTCAAACTTCATAGGATGATTGTCTATATTATTTAGAAGACCCTTATATATTTTGGGGTCACAAGGTCAAAGGTCAAGGTCACTATTACCTTAAAATTCCGGAGCATAACTTAAGTTCCATTTGGCCCTCACTGTTCAAACTTCATAGGATGATTGTCCATATTGGGTAGAGACCCCTATTGATTTTGGGGTCACAAGGTCAAAGGTCAAGGTCACTATAACCTTAAAACTGAAAACAATTTCCGGGGCATAACTTAAGTTCCATTTGGCCCACAGTGTTCAATTTTCATAGGATGACTGTCCATATTGGGGAGAGACCCCTATTGCTTTTGGGGTCACAAGGTCAAAGGTCAAGGTCACTATTACTTAGAAATTGAAAACAGTTTCTCGAGCATAACTTAAGTTCCATTTGGCCAAAAATATTCAAACTTCATAGTATGATTGTCAATTGGGTAGAAGACCCCTATTGATTTTGGGGTCACAAGGTCAAGGTCACTATAACCTTAAAACTGAAAACAGTTTCAGGAACATACTTTAAGTTCCATTTGGCACACAGTGTTCAAACTTCATAGTATGATTGTCCATATTGGGTAGAAGACCCTTATTGATTTTGGGGTCACAAGGTCAAAGGCCAAGGTCACTATTATTTTAAAAAACTAAAAACAGTTTCCTGGGCATCACTTAAGTTCCATTTGGCCTACAATATTCAAACTTCATAGGATGATTGTCCATATTAGGAAGAAGATCCCAATTGATTTTGGGGTCACAAGATCAAAGGTCAAGGTCACTATTACCTTAAAACCGATAACAGTTTCCGGAGCATAACTTAAGTTTCATTTGGCCTACAATATTCAAACTTCATAGGAGGATTGTTATTTGAAGGAGGTAATACTTTATTTAATTCCCATGTTTTACAAATGCTTCATCTTTACTAAAAAAAAAATCACTTTGTATTTCTCCGCCTAGCGGTGGGTGCCCTTGTTTAAATTTTGCAAAAGATATTATCACATAAACTGCAGCGCAAGAGTGTAATAAAGCCATTCAATAAAAACAATATTACACTAGTTTATTACATGTTTTTCGGTGGTTTATAGAAATATATCAGTGAAATAAAAAACTGATAATTTCACTGTTTTAAATTTGATAATGTCACTGTTTTAATTTAAGCCCCTTACGTTGTTTCAGTGAAATACCAGCGTGCACAGTACTGGGTACCAACTTAATGACGTGACGTCGTAAATGACGTCACATTGTATTATTATTTGGCGCTCTTTTTATTTAGTATTAGGTTAAATGTCTTTTTAAACGTTTCTTAGCAAATAATAAAAAGAAAAAAAATTGTTTAGTTTAGTGTAAGATCGAGATATATTTCACCTTGTGAACACCAAAGGTTCATATTTCACTCGTGGCTGCGCCACTTGTGAAATATACCTTATGGTGCTCACTCAATGAAATATATTTCGATCTTTCACTGAACTAAACAAATATTCTCTACGTAATAACACTTTGATGTGACGTCATTTGCGCTATATATAAACATAGCATTAAAGAGTGCTAGTGTTAGCGTTACATTATAGGCGGGTCAATGAAAAATGACTTGTTTTAACTGTAAACTGTTCTTTCTTTTAATATGTTATAAATAGAATATTATATTTGTGTAAATTCAATACTTCATTTATTGAACTTGTTGAATAAAACAATATTATGCTTGCCAGAGGCTCACATAATATGATTTTATTGAACTCATTTAATAAATTTTGTATTAAACCCACGCTCATTCAATATCCTCTATTTATTAAATATAGCTTTATACCCTTTTTTCTTACATTTAATTTTCAGAATTGACAGAGAAAATAAAGGTACAGTATGACAATCTATACAAACAAAGGCATCATGATATGCGTAGGAAAAGAGCGTCATATCCATTGCCATGTTCTACACACAGTCAGCGCAGAATGGAACAGTTCGGTCATTATCCAGATCACGGAAATGCACAAGAATCTATAATTAACAGATGTTTTCACGATATTCTTACACGGTTTGCTTGGTTACTTCTGCTGTTTGTAGTTCACAATATTCTGTTTATGCTGGATACTGTCTTTATGTGGGATCTATATGCCCCAATTTCAGTGAAGTACAACTCGTATCTATTTAGACTCGCAGGGAAACTCATATTATTTGGGATACTTCATATTGTGAGGAAGGCTATAAGAATTAATCTCGATCAAACCATAGGGCATCTTGTTTCTTTTGTTTTCATATTTTCTGTATTATTAGATGGTAATTCATGGGTGAATTCCTTGCTCAATTTGGTAATGATCGGGTCATTATTTTTGTGAAAGCTGCATTATGCAATCAAGTCTGTGATATTAATTTTACATATCCTTTATCATTAACAGTATTATAAATCTGTAATTGGCTATGGTGTTTAATAATGTTGAAATGATTTATAGCTTGACTTTATTTTTTTTATTTTTTTTAAAGTAGAGGTATTGTTATAGTCCCTGAGGCGTTGACGTTGCGTCTTTAAACTTGTATGTGGATCATAACTTTTTTAGTTCTTGGTGTATTGTCTTCACAAACCCTTGGGACAAGACCTTTCAGTAGACCACACTAACCTTGACCTTCATCCCCCAGAATGACCTTGACCTTCAAACTTGAACATAATAATCTTTAAGGATAGCCCTTTAAAAAACCCAGACAGAATTTGACCTTCACTCATAAATGACCTTGACTTTGAAGGTCAAATTATTGAAATTTTCATTTTTTTGGCTGTTATTGAATGGATTGACTTCATATTATAACAGAACATTCTTAAGGACAAGCCCTTCATGTTTATCAAACTCCAATTGACCTTGGCTCTTTTATGACCTTGACCTAAGAGGGTAAGACAGACAAATAAAATTTATAAAAAGGAAACATTAAGATTTGTTCAAATGTTTCTTATTTTGCTTTTAGAAAAAGGAAAAGTCGAGCGTTGCCCCCGCCCGATGGTGGCTCTTGTTAAAGTTTATAGTCTTTTATGAGCTATAGCGATAAAATCATTAAAACTTACATTTTCTCAATTTTATTTTTCGGATTTCTTTTATACGCAAATGCGAATTGTGCATAATGGGCACTACATCCTTGAGATATGTGTTGTAAGCTTATTAATATAGGATTAAAAGCAAGACCTTTATCAGAATTTCTCTTTCAATTATAATTACAAAATATTGCGAATCTGGCAATACACTATTTCCATATTCTCTTCCTCGTCAACTTCAACTTCCATATTCTCCTTGGCCATTTTTTTTTTTTTCTTCAGACCCCAGCTTGATAACCACATTTATTTCAATTTTTTTTTACATTTATACATATAATAGTACAGATTTATATATATTACAGTACCTCATTACATCAGAATATCAAAATTATTAATAAATTTGAGTATAAAGCTATATTTTTGTTGCCTGTTATTGAAAAAAAATATGTATAAGTTGCCATGAATTTTAGTCAATAAACTACAGATGTGTATGTATGGGGGGAAAATCGGTATAATTCTATACATTTTAATAAAGATATTACAACACACATAGCTTTATACCCTTCGTGTAGGCACATTATTATATAACCATATGTACAATGTAAGAACATAATTTAAGAATGGTCAAATTCTATTTCCATATTCTCCTCCTCGTCAACTTCAACTTCCATATTCTCCTCGTCAAATTCTGTTTCCATATTCTCCTCGTCAAATTCTATTTCCATATTATTCTCCTCCTCATCAACTTCCACTTCCATATTCTCCTCTTCAATTTCAACTTCCATATTCTTTTCCTCGTCAAATTATATTTCCATATTCTCCTCGTCAAATTTTATTTCCATATCCTCCTCGTCAACTTCCACTTCCATATTCTCCTCCTCGTCAAATTCTATTTCCATATTCTCCTCGTCAAATTCCACTTCCATATTCTCCTGGTCAACTTCAACTTTCATATTCTCCTCCTGGTCAACTTCAACTTCCATATTCTCCTCCTTGTCAAATTGTATTTCCATATTCTCTTTTTGTCAAATTCCACTTCCATATTCTCCTCCTCACCAAATTTTATTTCCATATTCTCCTCCTCGTCAAATTCTATTCTATTACAATTTGAGTGGCTAGAGTTGCCTAATCATATCTTCCATTTCTAAATCTTCCACTTCCATATTCTCCTCCTCGTCAAAAGATATTTCCATATCTTCAAAGTCTTCCTTGTCAATTTCAATTTCCATTTTGTCTTAATATGCCAGCTCTAAATCTGCAGTAAACAAGTAAAAAATTCAAAAACAATTTTGTAATAAAAGTAACCAAATATAAAAAATAGTACTTTGACTTCCATACCAAATACTGAATCAATATAAATGTACTAACTGCCAAAGTAACCTTTTTGGAAACTACAATTTTTGAGAAATAAATATAGATGCATTTTTTACTTGTTCATCATAAATGTGCCCTGAATGGAAAACAAAACATGCATAAACGGATAAAATAATGCACCTTTAATGAATGTTTTTGAATACATAGGTTTCAGAGCATCACACACAAATGACTTACTGAAGTATGACCTAATAATGGCCATGGTAATTTCATAACCTAAACAACATTGTCAAATGACATCACGCTGCCACGTTAAAAAGTGCATTACAAACATTTAATGACAAAAAGTAAAATAAGCAATTTAAACAAATACATTTATGCAAGAATTTGTGTTAATGCTCCTTTTTGTGCATAACACCTGCAGATGTCTTTCAGTGATTATATTATGCAAGTCTTATTAAAATTATGAAAAGTTCTTTTTTGATGTAAATTTTTCCGGGGTATATAGAAAATACGCATTTGTGCATGTAATAATAATACTGCAGTCTTATTTTTGTAATTCTATATATAATATCTTTTGTTTAATAATTGATAACATATACCCTTACCTCCTTTTTACAATTTGAGCTGCCAGAGCTGCTGAATTGTGTATTCCATTTCTTAAAATTCCACTTCCATAAACTCCTCCTCATCAAGTTCTTTTTCCATATTCTCCTCGTCAACATACATTTCATATTCTCCTTATCAACTTCAACTTCCATAAACTCCTCCTCATCAAATTCTATTTCCATATTCTCCTCTTCCTCAACTTCAACTTCCATAGTCCTCTTAAAGAAAATTTTTGTCCTTTTGTTATTAACTCAGATATGCCAATTTAAGTTTTTGTCCTTGATCATCAAAGTCATATTGTGGTCAAGGTCACAGTCAAACGATTCAAAATGTAGGTTTTGCCATGAATATTATTTTGTCCAAGCATAAATCAAATCAGTAAAAAATAAAGGCAATTTTAGCAAAATTAAATAAATTTTGCCTTGATGGTTAAGGTCATATCAAGGTCAAGATCACTGTTGAAAGATTCAGAATGTCGGTTTTGCCATTAGTATTGTTTTGTTTCAGAATAAATCAAATTGGTCAATAAATAACATACATGTAGTTATGGCAATTGAAGCAAAATTAAATATTTTGACCTTGATGGTCAAGGTCATTTAAAAGTCAGTCATGTCAGTTTTGTCACCATGAGGGTGTTGTTCCAAAGCCAATAATTGTAAAGGTCAAGCAAAATTCAACAATTTGACCTTGACCAAGCAGTATTTTGACCTTCGTGGTTAAGGCCATTTATGAGTCAAGATCATGACGTTCAATTGTAACTCCATCTAACTCCATCGTCTGGATGACTGTTGGTTGCAATATTAAAGTGCTAGCTTAAATCTTGTCACTTTATCTTTTGGAATGTTGTTATCAGGTAGCACATAATCAGTATTGAATATGGCCATGGTATCTTTGACTTTGTAAGAACAAAATTGGTAATCATTATCTTGATAATGGTATTCTTTCTAAATAGTTACCTTTTATTCCTCAGCACTAAGCTTTCCTGCGTAGACAATTTCATTATTAATCCTGTTTTATCTTTAACTTTTAATTTATTGAAGTTTACTTCACATTCACCTGAAAAAAAATCTTTTTCTTACAGTTGTTGAAGTCTGCAGAAAAAAAGTAAGATATAATATGCAGCATCTTTGAAGCCATGTTTTTTACTAGTTTATAATATCAAAAGTTTTCAAAGTTTTTGATAAGAAAGATTTCTTTCAGATTTTTACTGTGAACTATGACAAAATGACAAAAGTACAAATATCGTCCAGTCATATAGGCACCCTCTGCAAAGCTAGTTACCCTGCGTCAAAAACTATAAATGGTAGCCAGTTTTGCCCTCAGTTGTCAGTACCTTGGTAGATAGCAATCAATCCACTTACACATATATCTACTTAAAATCCATCCATGGATGTATCACCAGTCACCAAGAAGGTAAACAATAGACTCAGTGCCAGAAAAAGTTTTAGATAATTTCAACATTAAGGTGTTTTTTCTATTTTGGCAGTTTGAAATAATACCCTAGCATTATACTTATTTATTGTTCCTGACCTTAGACCCAAGATCCCATAATAGAGATACCCAGATACATGGGTAGAACTTAACCACAGTTTACATGTAGTTATATTTTACTCCAGAAACCCATCAACTTCAGACACCGATGCACGCACTGACGCCAAAAGTAACCCTTATATGTTGCCTTAAAGGCGAAACAAAAACCTACAAATTTAATTATTTCCATGACCAGGGATCTGATAAATCTGGACAATCAAAAGGGATAAGTTTCTGGTTATTTGCAATGTTCCTGTTAAGATTCATATACTCGTGGTCATCTTTCTGATGTTGCATGCAAATTTCCTTCCAAATCTATTTGCGACCTCAATGTATGACCTACATTCTTTAAAAAAATCAATTTAATACTAGATTTGATTATTCTCATCATTAACACAGCAAACTATTAACTATTAAGTTAAATAGACAATATTGGCTACCTGACAGACACGGAAAATTACAATAGTAAAATAAATATTGAATTAAGTAACCCCAGAGTGTATAGTGTAATATTTACCTTGACAACTTTTCCTTTAACTGAAAGAACACTTTTTTTGGCGACAATGACGCTGAAAGTATGTCATTTGTTTTCTGGAGTGTTGCACCTCTCACAACAGCATCAGGTACAACAACCATGTTTTCTGGAGTGTTGCACCTCTCACAACAGCATCAGGTACAACAACCATGTTTTCTGGAAAGTTGCATCTCTCACAACAGCATCAGGTACAACAACCATGTCTGAACTAGTTGAAAATATGTCAGTTTTAGATGTGATGATAATTGTGCTGAAAGAAATATATCGTCATGTATATAAATGAGAAATATAAATAAATTATCAGTGTTTCAAGTTACATAAAAATCTCCTTTATTGTTTAAAATTTTCTTTAAATGAAGAAAGGTAGTCGGGCAAAAAATTCTGATGAAGAATTGACATGCATTTCACTATACTACTGATTTTCTAAAATATTTCAAACTTTTAAACTATATTCTTGTGAGAAAACATCCAAGGCGTAAAAACGGTTGTTTGTTTCCAGTGTCCACCTACCCTATATTTTTGGCCGCCAACCCTAAACCTTTTGAGGGAAAACAGGCCATGTTTTTTTTGTTTAACCACATAATAAACTTTGCATCGCATATTATTTTCTTCAAATACAAAATAATATTTAAAAAGAAAATAGAGAAAATGCCTACCGACCTATCTTATTATTTTTAAACCCTGTCACTGGAAACAAGCAATTTTTTAGGCCTAATTCTGATTAGCTTAACATGTACCACGGACTCGATGGCGGAAACGGGAATCCGTAAACTCCCGCTCATATAAATCGAGCATCCTGTCCATCCGAGTCATTTTTTGTGCATTTAGACTTTCTATTACTCCTTTGAAATCTCCATACTGATCTTTCATCATCTCAACAAGTTCTACTTCAGACCTTCTTTTTACTTTTTTCTTGGCTTGGAGTTTAATTATGAATGTTGAAACTTTCAGTGTCTAAAATATTTCTTCTCTGATTCAGATGGTGCATCCACAACTTCTTTGAATTTTTTTCAAAGAACTGTACTTATTTAGAGCTTGGTTTGGTGAGACATTGCAGCCAACTTTCTACAATTCTTGGGAAAATCATCATTTAACTCATGCCTGTCAGGTTTACTAACACATCTTCCTTCTTTTCTGTCCAAACATGGAAAGTAGTAAGAGGTACAACTTCGGTACAGTTGTTATTGCTTTCTTTAGTTAACTCTGTTGACTTCTGTTCAACATCAACTACTGTTATAGTTTGTTCTGTAGCTGCTTTTAGTAGGGAATCAAAGATGTCCTGTTTAACCGCAGGATCTGTAATGATATGCATAATATATATTAACAAAAATGCTAATAACATTAATTTTGTCTTACCTTTAGTACCATAAAAGTGCTCTTAACTAGAGCACCCTAGACTAAATTACTGAGACTATTATTTATACAATGTGTGAGTTAATTATTATATAACATCACCCAAACTTAAAGGACAAGTCAGCTTTGGCTTATGATTGTTCATGTATAGGTTCTGAATCCTTCCTTAAATGTATGCCTAAAATATATTTAAGTAATAAAACAAACTAACCGGATTTATTTACCCAATTTTTATTATCGGCAATGTTTGCCTTTCTTCTTTCTGTATCTTTTCATGCCGATCTTAAAGACACTCATGTAGGAATAGCAAAGAAATTAGGTTAGCCACCTCTAAAATAGCTCTTTTTAATGCCTTGCTTTTTACAGAATATTTTTTTCTTTCTGTTAGAAATGGAAAGATAGGAGTTTCACAATGTTTCAATAATCGTTTCAGTATGTGTTACATAACTATCGACTGAAGAAAGAAGTGCTGAAATTATTTGTTATAAAAGTAACAAAACATAACATAGTACTTTGTCCAACAATTGCCAGTAAGAAAAAAAGTCCCAAGAAAGAAGTCCTGAAATTATTTGTAATTTAAGTAACAAAACATAACATAGTACTTTGTCTATAATTATAACTTGCAGTTTAATTTTGTCAAGAATGATTAACAAATACCAAGACATGTAACTGGAAAGAATATTCTAAAATGAATACCAAGGTGGGTTAATTACTCTATCCTATTCCATCATTGTTCTTTTACAAATTAAAGCACTAACGGACTGACAAACATTTTTCAATAGGGTTATTTCATGGCCACCATACTATTCTCCCACCTCTCTTTTCAGTCATGTTTCATAAAAAACCAAACTGAACACACAAAAAATACATTTCTCCTGATGTTTCAATAGCCTCTTAGTCAGAATTGTGTTGGTATCCTTAATTTTAAAGCTACATTAAATAGATATGTAAAAATATTTTGCAATCGGCATAAAAACCAAGCATTATACAGTTTCATTAACCTTTTTAACAGTATTGTTGTAAATCTCATCAAGCATTGTTCATAAATTAGGATTATAAACGGAAAACCCCACGGTAACACTAAAGTTCGTATACGAATTTTAACATGCAAATGAAGATAATAATCAGTTTGTGTATGTGCTACGTCACAGTGTTATGGTTGCTATACAGAACACAACAAATATGAGATTTGTAAATTGGCAATGGCTAGGTGTCAGTCTCTAATCATGCTTGTTTTGTCTATGACAGAAACAGGTTTGACCTTTTCATGAATCACCATTTTATGTGAATATCCAATCCTCAAAGCAAAGATCCTTAGAAGAGGCCTTAACAGATTGCATTTAACTGTTGTGTATGGAAGATTCCCCTTCCTATATAACGTTTGTAAGGCTTCTATTGTATGATTACCACCCATCACCTCAACTTTTCTCGACCCTTCATGGTATTAGGTGCTGTGTGAAACCATACCATCCATTAACATTCCTTGAGTCATAAACACCTGGCCACAACTGTTTTTCCGCAAATGACTGTCAGTTTCCCTACATGTTCATAATCTATGACTTTTGTTGCACTTGGCTCAATAAGATTTTCAATATGGACTTTAACTGTACATGCAAAGTCGAAAATAAATACATGTATATAAAAACCCGGATGGCGAACCTGCCCCTGCATTTCTTACATTCCTCATTGTCACATGTTATATTATAAAATACATATTACATTGCCTACAAAAAAAAGATAATTTTATATGCAAATTAAGGAGAGGGAGAATATGTATCACAGTATTATATACAATAAAATACATGTACAACTTACATGATAAAAGGTTTTGCATTTTGCCATTCCACAACAGAGTTTTTCTGCATCTGTCGGCATCTCCCTGCACATCTCCCATACACAACGCAAAATTTGCTTGCCCCTGAATGCAAAAAAGCAATTCTGAAATAATTAGAAATATTTTGTCTGACACATTAACAGTTTGGCCATGCCTCCACTAAATTTGAATTCGACTAGTACATGTAGTAAGTTACCAACATTCCAGCATGTTTATTTGTTGAAAATATAGATAAAAATATAAATAAAGTGACCAGTTACCACATTTCCATGGTTACCAATTTTCGCCTAATGGATATATTTCTGTGTCCCTTTGTTCATGTAATTTAAACTTATTTATGACCCCAAAACTGTCTAGCCAAGAATGAATGTTAACTAGATAGTTGACTTGATGTTGGTGTTCGACATACTGCAATAAAGGACAAATAGTTGCATGCCTACCTCTATCTATCTTCAAATAATGTCAAACACGTCACGGAGATGTAAACTCCCTATAAAGGGTGAATGTATTGAACATTTCTGTGAGACATAATCCTTAACAGACGGACGGAGTCAGGTGCTCTTGTAACTTAACGTAGTGTACAGAAACAATCCTTTTTTAGATGTAGATTACACTGAAAGAGTTTTAATTGAATTGCTTTTTGTTTTGATTATTTATTGAATACATGTGATACTTATAATAAATACTTTAAAGAATTACCATCCTTGCTATTCAACTAAATATTATTTTTTTAGAAAAAATTTATGTTGTACAATGTATATATGTTAATTATAATGTTTGAATATTTTGTAAAATACAGATTTCTATGATATGTAAATACACTTAATTATGTAAATACTATGGATATTTTTTTAAAGAATACATATGTATATTTTTAGATATTCTATATGTTTTGTTTGTTATTTGTTTTAAATTTCATTGTGTGATATGTTTACATCATTACATTTCAAAAGAAAATGTACACACTTGTTGCTTCTTTTTATAACCCCTTCAAGTTCCATGGGATGGAATTATAGGCTTACCCCCTGACTATCCTTTCATCATTCCGTGTGAGAATAATGCATCCTGTCGTATCTTAAAAAGTACAGAAAATAGTTTGATGATCCTTGGTTTGTGAATAGAGGACATTTGAAGATTACCATGTTATTAAATTTACTTCATTGTGGTTGCAATGGTTGCAGACATAGTTGAAACCAATGGGAACTGATCAAATATTAAAATGACATTATGCTATTTTTATGCCCCCCCCCCCCCCCTTCGAAGAAAAGGGGGTATATTGTTTTGCTAATGTCGGCCGGTCTGTCAGTCGGTAGACCCCATGGTTTCCGCTGATTATCTTGAAAACTATTTATCACAAAGTCTTCATATTTACATAACAAGCAGATGAGCCGTATTGCTTTTGGGGTCATTAGTTCAAAGGTCATGATTTCCGCTTACTGAAAACTATTTATCACAAAGTCTTCATTGTTTTTCTTTTTTCCATAATTGAACACTTCCATGTACCGATTTATGGCAAGTTTCTATAACAAAATTACCAAATAATGCGAGTCAAGGGCTAGAAAGGGGGCATATGTGTCGTTCGATATTTCTTGTTTCATTTTTAAGTTGAGCCGAATAGAGCATTATATTTCACGCCTTTGGAACATCAAAATTGTAGCCACCGCTAAACCCTGCGTAATAGACGATTAAATGGAGTATATGCATCTCTCAGCTCTAGGAGGTGACGTGGTTTTGATCCCTGGTGTTGCTTTAACACCCGAGGTTACCCAAAATCGTTTTTCTTGTTACGTCGCCATATAATATAAACTGTGTTCATGCGCCGTAAAACCAAACAAAAAAAAAACAATTATATATTTCAAAAGATTGTTATAATTGTGATTGACCAACAGGTCATTTTGGGATAAAATATGAATTTGCCGTAAATATAAAAAGACTGCAACACTAAATTGCACGTTACAGATAAACTCTGATGGACATTTACAGAAATTTCCATGGACCACGTGAGTTATTTATCGTTCATGCGACTTATAAAATTCGATGGGACATATTTGTCACTTTAATCTTGCTGAAACGGAAAATTACAAAAGCTAGGTATGCAGGTACAGGACCTTATATGTGACTGATATGGTTCCGAAAAGGGTAAAAAAATATATATTTAAAAAAGATGTAAATTGAACATGATACTATGATAACTCAATAAGTGACATTATGGTGATGATTTCACTATTTCGTCAAACAAAAATGTTTTATATGGTTACTGAAAATAGTAAAAATAGTTGGGCCTTGTTGAACATCAGTTGGACCTTGTATTGACCAAAAGAAAAACATTTTTGTTTAATCGTACTAGGTTGATGAAACTATGATTGGGAACCTTACTGAGATGGTGCACCTTATTTTTGTGATGCTGCCTTTGTTACAGAAATAAATAGTAGAATAATGAAATTTGATTCATAATTCGTGATAACTCAGAAAATTAAATTGTTCTCTTTGTATCAAAAGTATGTATATTCCCTTAAAATTGCACAGACATGATTCCTTTATAGTTATGTGTCGACAAGTTTTTCAAAGTCTTATTTCCTCGTTAATGTGGGGTTTGAGAGTTACGGGATGTATTCTTCAAAGAAAGGTAACTCGTACAGTTTCATTGAGATCAGTATTGTAAACGTGCACGTGTTATTTCCTCTTCAACTCGATACTTGTTGGCGGACCTTGCAATTTATTAAGTTATAAAACAAATCGTTTCAACTGTGAAGTTTTATTATTAACTTACCAGCACAGCGCATATCATGCGGTGTGTTAGCCAACCTGATTACTAAATGTCCGTCGACTCTTCATTATATGTTTTATTCACAGGCTTTATTTGTTCACAACCTCTGGAGATAACAACTACATGTATTTGGAAATAATAAAAAAGTCACCTATATACAAAATTCTTTGAAGACATAAGAATATTGTTATCATTTAATTGTCTTTGTGTTCATTTCTTGACGTTTCATGCCCTTAATACCTTTGACTTTCTCAAAGTAAAATTCATAAAGTTGTGGAGTTTTTTCTTAAACAATAACAAAATGATTTCAAAGAATTAGAATTTTGTGTTATGTATACAAAATATTTGCAAGTAAAGGACCAAAGATATTTAAAGAATACATAATATATAATTCTTGAGTATAAATTCTGCAAAATCTTCTATTCCAAGCACAAGCACATCTGTCGTTTTTTCAACACTGGGTAATGCTTAAAAAGTCATTAATTTTGATGATAAGCTTTTTCTGATATTTTCATGCTAAACAGGTCGTGAATCATGGATCTTATCTAACATAAACAATAATGAAAGAATGTTTTCTTTGCGCAGTTATCCATTATATTTGAGATATGATAAAATATCACGATTTTTTCTCTCTAACAAGTCGTCCGTTATTTGATCAAATATAAGAATTATGGATGAAACATAAATATTTGAAAGATGAGAGCTTCAAAATTTATCTGTATAGGAAAGATAAAAAATAATTCTGACATGATAACTAGCTTTTTTGTAAACACTGTCTGCGCAGGAGAAACTCTAATGATAATTGATTGGCGCGATCAAAAGCTTTGCCCTTCTTGCGCGTATTTTTTATATTTTTTATGTTCTTTAACTGATGCTTTTTACACATGATAGTTACAATAACAGCCCATATTTCCCGTGATATCACAAAACAGATAATTTTCCAATACATTTCCATGACCATTGCGATAATAGATATGATTTTTACCCCGTGAAGTTACTATAACGTCATTTTACGCCATGTGTGTTTGTTTATGATTTTAACGCATTCTTTTGGGTCATCTCTCTACGGTCGATCCATCTGACAGGCTTTCCTGAATAACTTACCAGTTATTACCAATATCTCCGTAAGTGACCGATTTCTTATTCCATTTGATATTTAACCGTTAGACTAAGTGTCCGAGAGCAATTGTCGCGTGGAAGTCACGCCGTTATGCCATATTCATGCCAGTTATGGGAGGTCAAGATACCTGTATGTTTCCCATGAAAATATGTTTGCAGTTTGAAATCATGTAAAACGTGTCATGGAAATATTATTGAATTTTAAATTCTTTGTCGGTTACTGTTATTTCTTTTTAAATATTATTTAAGTGATTATCTTGTTCGTGCTGGATGCTTTGTGCGCTGTCCTGTGTTTTTTTTTTTTTGTTTTTTTTTTTCGGGGGGGGGGGGGGGTCCTCCTGTGCTTCTTGTCGCTAGTTCTTGTTGCTGGGTCGTGTGTGGTTGCAATCATTGAACGCCGCCTTTCCTTGTTGATCTTGTTTATCATATTTTCATAATTTTAAGAGCGAAACAATTTTGCGACATTAGATTTTAACTTCAACACCGTTTCGAATATGTTTGTTTTTAATCAGATTCTTTAGTAAATATTATCATATTATGTTAATTGACATCTCATGGTTTCCATGGGAAATAGATGAAGATCACGAAAATATTATGGAAATGTTACGAGAATGATCCATGTGAAAAGTGTTGGACTAAGTGCGTCTGCACTTTTCATCTTAACTATTTACGTACCATTAATATCAAATTGCCTGTTACGTTTCAATTAAAAATCAAATATTATATAAATTTGAATTTCAAGTTTCCTTGATTTATATGTTTCTTATGTAAATATGGAATATTAAAGAACATTACACAAATAGATATTTTGTTAATATATTCATAGTCATTCCTATTTATATCCTTTTATATTTCTAAAATTGGTTGATAGTATTTTAGTATTAGACCTAACAATTAACAAGCCACGAAAGAAC